TCTTATGGTCGGAAATCATCCTGATAGTAATACGATGGTCATAGGTGTAGTTTCCTCTGGAGTTGGTTGTGCCAGACCACGTCTTCCTGGTATTTACACAAGAGTCTCTGAATACGTACCCTGGATCACGCAACAAATCACATTAAAACGATAATCCTGAATATGCGAGAAATCATCGACGTTATTCTTGATCTTTATCATTTTCTTTATCATGCATTGAAACCGATTAGATAATTGACTAATCTACTCGATACTTTTATTCATCATTATTCAGATTATTGAATCCGATAGACAAAATTTGACATGTGTATTTGTTCCTAATAATTCATAAGATATGATGATTTCATTACCTGTAATTACATATATATATATATATATATATATATATATATATATATATATATATATGTATGTATTATGAACACTGAGTATAATGCGTGAAATGCTTAGAATAATACAATGTTTTGTTAAGAGTTACTTTGTCGTGCTCTAGTCAATAATATAATAAGCTACAATGAGTATTATAAATTATTAGAATATTGTAAATAGTATTAGACGATTATATAATTTATATTATATATTATAAAACAATGCCAAATATTTATAGAACGTTAATAAAGACGAAGTTATTAATCTGTAAACGAGAAGTTCACACATCCCCCTTATATATGTACCAATTCAGTTGGTAGGATGTAGACAATACCGTCAATAAATCAGCGCAATAAACGCACCTAATAGATGAACATTAATTGTTGCATATAACTTTCGTTGAAAGTTTATAGTTAAGGATAGAAACGCTTAATTACAGAATATAGGTTACTATATCCCAAGGGCACTTTAACCTATGTAGGTCAAACTCCCTTGTGGGGTTGTATACGCTTTTCCAGTTTATAGTAAGACTCTTGAGATTTGAATAATCGATTATTCGTAAATCCATAACAAGAAATATTTTTACGCTTATATATAAGATCGTAATCTAATATCACATCGTGATGAAATCCATAAACCGGTTTTTTTCTTTTTTTTTTTTTTTTTTTTTTTTTATACAATTATTTCCAAATTAAAAGAGAATAAAAATTGAAAATTTTCTTTTTTCTACGCGTACCATTGACAAATTATTTCTTCAACTTACTTAGTTTCTCAATGTCGAATTGAAAACTTTTATTAAATTTTATTTAATAATAACATAATAAAATGTTCAGAATTATTATCGGATTTGAAATCTTCAAAGAAATGAAAAAATATTTCTATGAAAAGTACGTAACTCGAAAATTATATTGTATTATGAAATTAGCAATTTCGATACAATGATATAAATATGAAGTTCTAATTTCAAGTAAATGTACATATAATTGTTAAATTATAATAATAAGATGACTTTTAAAAGACGCCGTTCTAGATGTATAGGATATAATTATATTCTCCTTGGCTTTCTTGGTCTTTGTGGACACCACGAAACTCTTGTACTATCTGTGATTGATATTATTTCTATTCCTGATAATTGAAGACCTTTCAAAGCAGCCTAAAATATAAAAGAATTCGTATAAATGATAATCTACGATATTATTTAAATAATTATTTATTTATATTTGACTTTAAACATTTTATTTTATTAAAAGTGTTAATTTATAATATTCTATTATCGACATATCATACAATAGATTTAAAATATATTTTATCATAATATATTTACCATTCTACCAGAGCCTAATCCACCTACACGTACTCTGATTACTGGTGTACATTTATTTCGAATTGTCTGAAAAATATATAATATTTCATAGATCCACGTGTTAGTTAGAACATGGAAACGTTTATATATGCTTCTATGCTTCTCTAAAAGTTAGAACGTAGAAGTTATGAATAAAAATCATACGTACTTCGCTGAAACTAATTGCCGTTTGTTGTGCTGCGACATTAGTACCCTTTCTAGTATTTTTAAAACCTTCTCTACCTGCAGAATGTACTGCTAGTACCTTTCCTATAAATATATAATAATATGTAAATATATTTATAACAATACTTTATTGAAATTGGAGTTATTAAAATTACCTTGATAATCTGTCAAAGATAGAATAGTATTGTTATGAGTTGCTTTTATATTAACAATTGGTAATTCCTTATATGGTATACCTTTAAAAATCCAATTTGGTGTGTCTTCTTCAGGGAATAGTTTTGTTCTAAAAAAATATACATACAACTCTTAAATTGATTATATTAAAATCTATGTATAAACTACAATGTATATAACTAATTTTCTTAACATAGAAATAATATGTTTTATAAAAATGTTTTTACATTTACTCACTGGTCTAAACTATGAACTGAACCTTCTACTTCTCCTTCAACTAAATTATATTTGTTACTACCAACTCTAACTTTGTCATTTGCACCTCTTATCTCTTTTGTATTAAAAGAGGTTATGTGAAGATTTCTTAAGGTTTTTACAAACGAATATTTTGAATTAATCGTATCGTTAATTAACAATTTTTTCCCAGTACATGATAATATTCTTAATGATAAAAGTGTATTCATCATTATAAAATTTGTAACTTATATTATTTGCAACAATAAATCAACGTATAGGTTACGTATATGCCAACTACGTATATATATATATATATCATAGGGTATAATATATAACTGATAATGCGCATGCGTTTACTTGTGATACAATGTAAATCCTTCCTAAAGTTTTCAAATTTACAACTATGATAATCAAAGGTATATTCAAATTTATCAGACATATATAGAAAATATTAATTATAAAATAATACTTAATTTCCTATTAGAAAAATTTATATCATAAAAATGTAAATAGAAAGAAAAAAATGAACGACCAATAGGAATGCAGAAGGTAACTCTTTCGTTACATAAAAATTTCACTTAACATATCTTGCTTCGACAAATGTAGTGTACGATTCTTAAAATTAATAAAACATTTTATATTAACTATAATACTTGAGAAAGAACATATTGTACTTTTTGTTTTAACTAAAAAAAAAAACAAAATTTATTTCATTTCTCTTAGGATGTATTTCGTTCAGCGAACTCTAGCGGATATCAAAATTACGATTTCTACATTATCGACATTATTTCTTTCAACTTTGTCATTGATAGAATTCAAATCTTTCTACATTTATCGATAGAATTAATACTACCGCGTCATTGAATGTACACAATGATAGATCGAAAAAGTCGTAGACTTTTGAGAATCATTGATGAATGCGTGCACAGATCGTTAAACAGATCACGATAATATCAATTTCAACGTAGTATCGATTTAAGTATTTAACATCGTACGCAATTGATTATTAAAATAATCTCATACAATGATGCATTTATATTATATCGTACGATTTATTCCATTTCATATTTCCATTATAATAGAAATCTATATATGTAACTTGATTAAAAAATCTTTTATCAGTTGTCAGCAGAAAAGGTAGCGGTTATAAGTACTCAGCGAAAAAAAAAAAATAAAAAAAAAAAAAAGAAGAAGATGAAAAAAAAAAAAATAGAAAACAAGAAAAAAGAGAAGACAACAAAAAATCTAATGAAAAAGAGAGAATGGAGTATTCGTCACGTGCCATCGAGTTGTGAGACGAAAGTAAAAGACTAAAGCAAGCACGACATTCAGGTCTCGTTCTCCGTCAATGTCAGGCTAAAGCAACGAGTAGTTTTCCACTTAACAAATTAACGACGTTGACTCGGTAGTTTGTAGAAGACTTTCGGCTCGACATTCACGGGCATAGATATCGTTTTGTGCAAGCTCGCCGTCCTGTCTCTCAACGTTATTTCTTCGTTTATTCGTAAGGTACGCATGATTTAATAACAAAAGACCCTCTCATTTAGGTTTCTTATTATCAAGCTTTCTCCGAAACCATTAATGGATTATAAGAAGACCTTCGAAAAGCTTTACGCGAAGAGCTTTACGTAGAATGAAAGACAGAAAGAGAAAAAGAAAGAGAGAGAGAGAGAGAGAGAGAGAGAGAGAGAGAGAGAGAGAGAGAAATGAAGAGTTTCAAAAATCGTCTTTTTCAACGATGAAACAGTCGCTTTCATATTTTTTTTTTCCTTTTTTTTCCTCCCTTTTCGAAGACTTGTAGCGCAGCAGAGATGAGATTCGCCGCGCTTTTTAATGAATCGCGTTCATATCCTCCCCTTCTTCTACCTCCCTTTTTCTCGTCCCTTCAATGAATATTTATTAGGAGATTTTAAATCCGTCTTAACTTTGCAATTTCAACGCTTATCTATCGCACTTCGTAATATTGTATTAAAAGTACAAAAAAAGAAATAAAGGAAGATGATGAAAGACAAAGAATAGAAATTATTTTCTATCGATTGTTATCGCGTTTACCGTTTAAATCATAAAAGAATAAACAAATAATTGTTTAGAAATGCGTTTTTTCCATTCATGTCAACGAGCTATCGTATTGGAGTTCTTACAATGGAATCAGAGGATATTTTTTTTTATTATTGCCGAGATATAATAATAATAATAATAATAAAAACAACAACAACAACAACAACAACAACAACAACAACAACAACAACAACAACAACAACAACAACAACAACAACAACAACAACAACAACAGCAACAACAGCAACAACAACAACAACAACAACAACAACAACAACAACAACAACAACAACAACAACAACAACAACAACAACAACAACAACAACAACAACAACAACAACAACAACAACAACAATAATAATAATAATAATAATAATAATAATAATAATAATAATAATAATAATAATAATAATAATAATAATAATAATAATAATAATAGAATAATAAATATAATAAATAAATAAAATAATAATGATAATGATAAAATATAGTAAAAGAAAACAATTTTTGTATTGTGAGTGAAGAAGGTATCGCGAATGAAACAAAGAAGGATTTACGATTCAAGAAAAGCCATGAGAATAGCATTCGTTTCGCTTTCAATTTACCAGTTACGATCGCGTACGTGCGAAACATAAAGTTTCAGTTGGCTCGTATACGTAATACTTTTATACATACCACAATATACAAGTAAATTGTTTACAATGATTACACAGATGATATTCATTCCTTCGTGATGTGCTACTTTTTAATTTTATTTCTTTAGATTCTCTAATGGTTTAAAAAAAAATATAATTATTTTCAAATTAAATATATATATATATTTAATTTGTAAATATATATATATATTTAATTTGTAAATATATATATATATATATATATATATATATATATATATATATATACATACATATGTAGGTGATCAAGAAAAATAATATTTTTCAACCATCAACCGACGGACGAGTTTACACGAGCCAATTAAAAAATATATGAAAGCTCTCGTTAATTTTTCCTTTTTCCTACCTTGTACGTAACACGTAACCAATTAATTACTGACGTTCGTTAAATCGATCGGAGCGATTTTACAAGAAACGAAAAATGAGGAATAAAAAAAAAAAGAAAAGTAAAAAATGAAAAACCAAAAGAAAGAATAAAGTAAGAATATACAAGTAATCCTGTAGCGTCTAGCAGGAGATTAGAAATGTCGAGTATGTGAAGCGGACAGACAGACAGAGACAAATGGAGAAAGGAAACGGCGAAAAAAAAAAAGAAAAAACGTAGGGTTTGCCCAAGCTATGGCAAAAGTTCTTCTACAGGGTGGTAGGGTTCAGGGGATAAGGGGATATGCGTCTGTTAACGAGAAAGGTCGATATGGTATAGGCCGATGGGGAAAGAAAAACTGTCGTTTCACGATGCAAAACGAAACAAGACCGAAGCCGTGGAAATGGAATAGGCATGAGGTTGAAAAGGAGGAAGAGGAATAAGGAAAAAGAGGTAAGAGAGGACAACGGAGGAGGATCGCGAGGCGGCAATCCTGGGAAAGTCAGCTACTATTCGAGCCACTCGAGTTCGGTTTATCCAAAGGGACGATATCGAGTATCCGCTGTGCCACGTCCGATTTAAGCTTGCAGCATCCCCTTCTACATATCTTTCTCTTTCTCTCTCTCTCTCTCTCTCTCTCTCTCTCTCTCTCTCTTTCTTCTTTTCTTTTTTTTTTTATTTCTTTCATTCTTCGACTATCTCGTTCTCCCGATATTTCTTAAAGTACCATTATGTACTCTACCTTCGGCCCTCTACTCTTTTTCCTCCTTCCCACCCTCTTCTCATCCTATCTTTCTTCTTCACCCTCTTTCTATCCTTTCTTATTCCGTTACATCCGTTTCTTCGAATTCAAGCCATACGCGTTTACTCTGCTCCAGGCAGTGCTCTTCCTCTTTCCTCATTGGTCAGGAAGTAAGATAGGATGAAGAAGAGAAAGACGTAGAAAAAGGAAAGGAGAGAACAAATAAGGATATCGGATTCTTCTTACTCTTAAGCCGATCCTTCTTTCGATCTTCTCCGATTTCTCTCTTTTTCTTTCTTTTCTTTGACATTTCTTTTCTTATTCTTTTTTTTCATTTTTTGTCCTCCTTTTTTTATCTCTTTCTCTCTTCAATTTTCAAGTATATACTTCGAAAGCAAAGTAAATTAAAGGTAAAAGCAGCAAAGAACTGTTAGAAGCCTGAAAAAGGAATCTGAAAATATTCTTACGATCTTTATTTTACTTTTCACGTACACTTTTTCTTTTAAATCCTTTTCGATTTTTTAATTCTCCGTAGTATTTTTATTGTCAAAAAATTTGCGCGAAATTAGAAAACGAAAGGTACTTTCAATTCTTCTCGAAAGAGTAACGACGCGTTAAACGATTTCGAAATAACGATGTCGCCATTTCTCGTCGTACCGTTCAAATTTTTAGCGTTCTCGGGGTCTACCTTGTGTCAACTCGTTTGAAACGCGAAAGGTTATTGCAAATAACGAGCTACGAAGAGGAAGAGACGCGTATAACGCACATCGATGTTTGCACGAGCTTCATCCTCATCGGTTACCGTAACGACGTTTGCATGTCCTTTTATTCTGTGTAACGATAAAAATAATTGTAATAGTAATAGTAATAGTAATAGTAATAGTAATAGTAATAGTAATAGTAATAGTAATGGTAGTACTAATAATAGTAATAATAATACTAATAATAATAATAATAATAATAATAATAATAATAAAGTTAATATCGTTAACACAAATTTCTCATTCGTATAAGAAACGAAATAGAATTAACGAAGAGAGATCTCGTTTTACTTACAGTCTGATTAAAAAAGTACAAGCAGTGTTTTTGCGTGAAAAAAAAAAATGACCGAATTCCTCATGATAATATGAATGATGGAAGATGTCATGCGATTATAACTTGAAACACGGAATATATATATATATAATATTACGAACATATATCGAACTGATGTATTTTACGATACGAGAAATTAATGAAGTTAATGACATTTACGATATCGAAATTGAATTCAAAGATACATATAATAAATATAAGAAAGAGAATAAATATATAAAAATTGATTTGCTAGAATCTTATTCTTTTTTGTTTTCCTCGACTTTTTAAGAAACAATACAGCGCATTTCGTTAAAACACTATGTCGAACGAAATCAGGAATAATCTATACTACCAAAAAGTAATCCACTTGACGATAAATAGGGAGTTAGGTCGCATTAAATGTGTATCATTTACGTAAGCGTATAATTTTCAACGGTTCAAAATTGGTGTCATCGATCAAATGAACACGAACGATAAATTATGTGGTAGATAGGATAGGCAGGTAGATAAGTGGACAGATAGGTAACTATGAATTATATGTTATTATAACTATTACACAAGTAGTTTTAAATTCGTTCTTTCTCTTTTTCTATCTTCTTGAATTTTACAGATTTATATTTCTTTAAATTTAATGATCTCGTTCTTGAATTTCACGACAGATAAGACGACTTTACCGTCATTTATTTTCACAAATCAATTTAATAGCACGACACTCGAGACATGACATTTTTCTAAAAACAAGATAATTTGAGAGAAAAAAACAAAGAGAGAGGAAGAGAGAGAGAGAGAGGGAGAGAGAGGGAACGCTAAGAAGAAACGATTTCTTTTTTTTTTCCTTATTCGTACGAATGAAGACGAACGCGAACCGTTTCAGAAGGAATCGGACGCGACTAACGAAGGGTCGCGTTACTATAGCCTATCCTCTCTGCTTTGTATTGACGAAGGCCATCCTCTTTTTTCTTTTATATATATATATCTGACAATCTCTACGAAAACACGAAGGATTTCACACTAGGAAACGATTCGTTCTCCACAAACGATCTCGCCATCGCGCTTTCTCTCTCTCTCTCTCTCTCTCTCTCTCTCTCTCTCTCTCTCTCTCTCTATGTTTTTTTTCTTTCATTTTTTTTCTTCTTTTTTTCCAAAGACAGATAGTCCAATCGTTACTTTTCTCCCGCACGAGCGCCTCGTTACGCGTCCAATCGTGCCGTCCGGTCTGCCATTCCTAAGACTATAGAGAACTTTTTTAAAGGGCCGAGAAAGAAAAAAGATAAGAGAAAGATTGTAGGGAGATGTGGATTTTACGAGCCGATAGAAATCAACAGTCTTCTTCGTTACTTATTCAGCATTAGTACACATTCACGAGACGCAGACTTCACGAATATTTTACATTCTCTTGCGCCTGTTCGCTTCTCCCTACGTTATTTTCTTTCGATCGTAAAATCACGAATGGAACGATCTTTTTGTGGTCTTTCTCAGGAGATAAAGAAGAAGGAAAGAAGTTGAAGAAGAACAAGAAAAGAATCGGACTCGTAAAGTATTCGCAAAGTTAAATAGATCTTTTCGTATTTTTCTTGTCGACGTGCTTTCTTAATTAATTAACAATTATTACGGGAGAAAAAATATTGACCGTTCATTTTGATTGGCTCGAATAAAATCAATGAAATACCTATTAAAATAACAAATCAAAATTATCTCACATACTTACTTTTCCTTTTTTTAATTCTTCTTTTTAAAAAAATATATATATATATATATATTTCATTTTATAGAACGGAGGGGTTTCTCTTTAAAGGAATCACTTGAAATTTTCATCCATCAAGCGTGCGGTGAATTATCCCTCAAAAAATCGAGAAAAGGAAAAAATTATAAAAACAAAAGATTTTAATTTCTTCCATTTCGGAAGCATCGAAATTAAAAGTGAAAAAAGAAAGATGGAGGGAAAGAACCTTTTTCTTTTTTTCTATCCTTATTTATTTTCTTTTTTTTTTTTCCTTTCGATCGTAAACCTTACTCTTATTCACATTTCGCGGTAAACGCAAAATGTAGGCCGCCTTCGAATCGACTCCTAAAAGTAGAGTTTCCCCGAGCGATTCGGCCGATAAAATAATCGATGGTCCTCGTGCATCACACGGAAGGATTCAATTCCATCGATGGCTCGGACTCTTTCAAGCAGCGCTTATTCGAAGAAAAGTGAGTCGGGATCGTCGAAGGATTCGAATCCTCGTTCTTCCTGCCCTACATCTTCGCTTTCTATCTCTCTCTTTCTCTCTCTCTCTCTCTCTCTCTCTCTCTATCTATCTATCTTTCTCTCCCCTTTTCGTACACATACACACACACATACACACATACACGCACTCACACACAAACGTATATTCGCTCACTCGGTCCGTTGTGTTTATCTTAGTCCCTCTCGTGGCTCTTCATCCTGAGCATTCATCTCGGCACAATGGAGCCCTCCGTGCCGTCGGTTCACGTCGAAAAGCGAAATACATTATCCATTTAAAGAATATAACAAATAAATTCAATCTTGAATCGAGCGGAAACCTGGTCTTTCGTTCAGATGATCGTAGGTGTTCAACACCCAAGCAACAAAAGAAAAAAGAAAATAAAGAACAAAAAAGAAAAATATAACAATCGTAAAGAAAATTGTCGAGAGAGTGTGAGAGAAACGGAGAGACAGATGCACAGAGAGAGAGAGAGAGAGAGAGAGAGAGAGAGAGAGAGAGAGAGAGAGAGAGAGAGAGAGAAGTGAAGAAACGATCGGTGGAAAAGTTTGCGGTGTACGATCTACAAATTCGTCCTTTTTCGACGATTACTTTTACTCAGCACACTTGGAAAGAGGTGATCTGTGAGATCAAGTATTCGATCGGTCGTAGAGATCCTCGATCGTGGCTGACTGAGTGTCGTCTCATTCGAACGAGAAGAGAAAGAAAGAAAGAGAAAGAAAGAGCGAAAGAGAGAGAAAGAGAGAGAGAGAGAGAGAGAGAGAGAGAGAGAAGGTTATCAAGGGAAAGGAGGTGGTAAAAAGTGGGTGGTCGCTGGGCGATCCGCAGGTGTGGGCGACACTCAAGGCTCGTAGCAGACACGATTCTGCTCGGAGGGTCGGTGCTCTCTTTCCCACCCTCCTCTACTTCCCCACCTTCTCTAGCGGCTCTCGTTACCTCCCTCTTTTCTCGTCAAGGGTGGACACGCGCTTGGCCCTCGTTGTCGTCGTCGTCGTCGTCGTCGTCGTCGTCGTCGTCGTCGTCGTTGTCGTCATCGTCACCGTTGTCGTCGTTGTTGTCGTCGTTGTTGTCGTCGTTGCCATTGCCGTCGTCGTCGCCGTCGACGTCGACGTCGTCGTCGTCGTCCCCACGAATTCCAGGGATCAATGCGTCGGTGCAGCAAAACGCCTGCGCCACCCTTCCCACTATTAAATCCCCACCATGAAGAGACTGTCGGCCACGCAGCGCGGCAGCGCCGACAGTAGCAGCCACGGCGGTAGCCACGATCCTCTCGTCGCACTGACGACGTAACTTTCTAAACGGAAGAAGAGGAATCGTATACGACGAGGGATAAATACGAAAACGAAAGAAAGAGAGAAAAATAGAGAGAGAGAGAGAAAGAGAGAGAGAGAGAGAGAGAGAGAGAGAGAGAGAGAGAGAGAGAGAGATAAAAAGAAAAAAAATAGAAGGAAATAATCCATTGTCTATTACGATATGCATGTCTCGTATCGAGGCTAGTGCAGTTTAGTCTGTGTTTTCTTAGTCCTCTCGAGCTACACCAAACGTGTACGAGAGAAAGAGAAAAAGAGAGGGAGAGAGGGAGAAAGAAAAGAGAGAAAGAGGGAATAGCGACGACGACCTCGATTCAGTACACCCCCACAGTCACCTCTTTCACATCCCCCCGCGGTTCCACTCAACTTCTATTTCTCTCTCTCCTGCTTGCTTACGCGCGTGCTCCCACTAGGCACTCTCCTCCTCGTCGCTCCAGCGTGCGCGGCGCTCGACCCTCGGAAATTCTGAAAGCGGTTCGCGCCTGTGCAACGCGGGGGTGGCGGGGACCTAAAATCGAGGCGAAAGGAAACTCGGCGGATCCGGCTTAAGGGTTTCTCCTCTCTCCTAGGGCTCCTACGTGCCATCATCGTAGTCATCATCACCGTCACCATCGCCGTCATTGTCGCTGTCATCGTTATCGGCGGCGGCGTCGTCGTTGTTGTTCTCGCCGTCGTCCTCGTCCTCGTTCTCGAAATTTGCGACCGCGTGCGTGCGTGCGTGGATGCGTGCGCGCGTCCTCCCTTTTTCTTTCGGTCGTCCTACTTCCTCTCCTCGTTCTACGATAAAAGTGGATATCTCGCTTCACAGTAGGATTACCGATGCGTTTGGATCTAAGAAGAAGGATCTAGCCTTGTGATAGTTCCCTCTTGCTTTTTTTTTTTTTTTATTTTTCCTTTCTCTCGAAGTAGAGAGAGAGAGAGAGAGAGAGAGAGAGAAGCAAAAGGGAAGAGGAAAAGAGTATTGGGGCGACGCCGACGATACGAGTTACCGTAGCTGTTACATTATCATCCCGAAGAGGTGACACGGTTTACTTCGAGAGTGTTCACCAACGAAAAGTCTCTTCCTTTTTTTTATATTACGAAAGAAAAGGGAGAAAGAAAGGAAGGGAATAGAAAGAGAAGAAGAAAGTTAAACGGGAGAAAAAGAGAAATAGAATAAGGGAAAGAAGAGGAGAAACAAAGTAAGGAAATAAAAGAGAATTTACGATAGAAATAAATCGAGTGGTGTAGTACGTTTTTGGGGTACGTGCGCTAGCCGTGGCCGCGAGTGCAGCGGTGTGACGTGACAGTGTACCTGAAGCAGTGATCGGGGAAGGTCGTGCGTCCTACGTCTCTTTAAGAATATTCCTCGAAAGGATAACAACGTCTAGGATACGTGAGGAACTCATCGTGAATCAATCGTCGTTGTGTCTGAGCCAAAACTCGGATTCGTTAGTTCGTTCGTGTATATCGTATGAAAACAAAAGAGAACAGGATCATCGACGATCCTGGACAACGTCGATGATCGTCATGCGTTCTCGATCGCAGCCCTCGGTCGAGGGTTGAAAAACCGAACTCGAGCGAAAACACGATCTCAGGATTGCGATTTTCTCTTTGCTGTCGCGCGCGCGCGCGCCCACAACGGTGTGTCGGTCGTCGTGGGAATTAAAAAGCGAGTTCGACGATAAATTTATCTTTTCACGACGACGAGCTGGTCCCCCTCAGGAGGACCGACCGTGTACCACGTCATCGAGCTCAAAGTGAGTCTCTCTATCTTTTTTTTTCTCATCTCCTTCTATGATGACGTTTCTATCTGAACTCAATTTCGCGCCCTGTAACGGACTCCCCTTATCTTCTTTACTCCTTCTATTTCTCTTGATTTCTTTCTCTTTTTTTGTTTTCATTTTATCTTCTTTTTCTTTTCTTTTTTTTTTCTTCTTCTTCTTTTTCTTCTTCTCACAAATCTCGAATCTTCTTCTCGGCTTTAAAAGGCAAGTCGTGTCCCTTTGGCACACGATATCGAATATTGCGAATGATTTTGAATCGCGTACGTTACTCTTGAGTTTCATAGTGATTGAACAACGAAAACGATTCGACCATTCGCCGTTCGCATTTTTTTCAGTACGATCTAACCGATCGTCCAAAATATTTTCAACGATTCTATTCAAACCATCAGCGAATATGTATTTGAACACTTCGCTTTCTGTACGAACGACTGCTTTTGGCTACAAAGATCTTCGAAATCGTTCTGTAATGTCGAATTTTACGATATAATGTCGATATCATAGCAAGTTTATAGATCTCTAAACGAATTTAACTCTTTCTTGGATCGCTCTATTTTTATGATATTTACGGAGAGTGTCTATATACTTTTATAACTTAGTATATATATATATATATATGAAATTTTTCTCAAACCCAGAAATCTCGGAGTTGAGTTGATTAAGGGATATAAAAAAATCTCAAAATATTATAATATTATTATTATTAATCGCGTGTTAAGAAATGAAAGAGAGCTTTTATTAGCAACTTCCATATTTTTACGTACAATTTAAATCGTAATTATCTTATTCGATTATAAGATATTAAGTAACTTTTCAACGTTCGCTTTCGGTGTTTCGCATTTTTGAAAAGTTTAAATCATAATCCTCGCTCTCGACGAAAGTAAATGCATACTTTCGATGCAACAGCTTCATCCTCATGCACGAATTATTATCCGAAAATATTAATATTCAAATAAAACGATCCAAGTATCCGTGAACTATCTTTAAATGTTTCGCATCTCTCAACTTTATATTCCTGAAACATTTCTTTATTGCGTTTTAGAACAAACACGTTCTCGCGTGCCACTTTTCCTCTCCTCCCCTACTATATAAACATACACGCACATTGTGTTTTTCGTTTTGTACACAAACCACGTTTCGTTTAACTCGTGACGGAAAAACGTATCAGTAAAATATGGAAAATATTTCGCATACGCGTAAAAAAACAAAAAAATCACCAGATATGATCTTATAACGTTTAAGTGATATATATCAATATACGTATTAATTATTGCGTTAATTTGAAATAGACATTAGTGAAAAAAAAAACGGATGTACGTGTTAACTGAAATTTTTCGAGTAAAGATTTCGGAAGTAAAAGAGAGACAGAGAGAGAGAGAGAGAGAGAGAGAGAGAGAGAGAGAGAGAGAGAGAGAGAGAAAGAGAGAAATAGAGAGAGAGGAGAAAAAGAGAGAGAAAGAAGGATGTGTAGAATCACAATGTGATCTTTCCTGGAGCCGTTTACTTCCATGCGATCTCCATAATTCATTCTCATTATACTCTGTGCTTATTCTCCTTGCGAGCTGGACTCATTAGATACGTGTACATACTCGTATATATATACCTTTGGTAAGGTACCATCATAGGTAATATTATTTGTGCGTCATGTTACTTCGAGAATATAAATATTTCCTTTCCATATTTTTTCCTAATTTTTCGTAAGATTATCAATGAGTATAAAAATGAGTTTATTCATTTGTTCGTTTCGTTTTTTTTTTCTTTTTTTTTTTTTTTGATAAATTCATTAATATCGTTCCTTGTATGATATTACATGTAGGATTTCTCATGTTAATAAAGTTAAATATAATTAATTATCAAATAATGATATAATATGTAATATGTTTGATATTATGAGGGATCATCGATGATGGGCAATAAATTTTCCTAATTTTCACTGTATCATTAAAATTTCGACGTTAATAATAAATGTAATAATATTATAATAAATTTAAAGGATGAGAAATGTGTAGAAACCAAGTCAGGATGTACTCCTATCAGTTTATGAAAATAATATAGTTAATAATAATTATAATAATATAATTGTAATCATTCTAATGGTAATTATATTAAAGAAATGTTTCCCTTTGACAAAATGTCACGAAACGTTCTCAAACTTTCCTACACGCGTAAGATTAATATACCTAGACATAGTAATGTGCTAGCCAAAAGCACTCGGAACGTCATAAATTTTGGCTGTGCCGGGTGCCGACGAGGTTAAGCCTTCGCCTTGGAGTTGACGCACGATTGATCATGCCATAGGCGTATAGATGTTGTTTGCGTGTCTCGAGTCTTAATGTTTCAACATAGACATGACGCCAACTAAACTTCATCTTGACTATTATCCAACGCGTATATTCCATCGTGGCGACCGAACGTTTGAGAAACTTTCGATACGATGCGTACGTTACAAGAGACATGTCGCTTTATTATAGTCTTTCGTGAAAATGCAGGAGTACACGTGCACGTGACACGCATCCACACACACACAAACACAAAATATACGGGAAGAGACACAATGATGAAAATTATGTCAAGGACGCGTAATCCAGCCCTTTTCTACCTATCTAGGGTGAGCGCGCCCACACACACGTACACATATATATGCGAAGATACACACACAATACAGACGGTATATTTCGTTCGACGCGAAAAGTGTGCCTTCTGCCCACGCATTATTCTTTTGTTTGCTTTATGCTTGACATAGATGATAAAAATGAAATGCTATTCTTTTAAATAGCGCGCGTATATGAGAGAGAGAGAGAGAGAGAGAGAGAGAGAGAGAGAGAGAGAGAGAGAGAGAATGTCGAGATGCGTCGTATTACGGTTCGTTAAGTAGACAAAGGATACTGATGCTTTTTCCGTGATAGTCAATTATGTGTTCCACTCATTTTTCCCTCTCCCCCTCTTCGTCTCTTATCAAACAAACGGTATTCGAATCGTGTCATGAAAAAAAAAAAAAAAAAAAAAATAGACAGAAAAAGAAAACTGATACGATATTTCGTTATTAATCAATGTCTTCTTTGAATTTACACGGTATTGGTTTTTTTCTTTTTTATTTGGGATATCGTGTAATCATTAAAAAGTGATTTTCCGCAATAGAAACGTGCGAATGTTATTTGTGAGAAAAACATAACATACATTCTACTGACATACATTGGTATTTATCATTCATCCGGATAATAATCCGTGCAAAGTAAATTATGAAATATGAGCCGGAATTAATAATAATAATAATAATAATAATAATAATAATAATAATAATAATAATAATAATAATAATAATAATAATACGATTATACATTATTCCCCGACAATTATACCGCTCGAACGATCACCTGATTTTTGCCACAGAATCGTTTTTATTGAACCTTGAATTGAATTAGGATTCCGTATTGTTAGAAAAAAAAAATTGTATTTTTACAATATACAATGACGGCGGTCGGATATGGTTATTTTATCAGTGGGAAGAATGCCATGTCCTGATGATGAAAGTTATTAATGGAACTTTAATGAATGTTACATTGCACTTCGCTAATATCTGATTTCGTTAATGTGATTCATTACCTTTATCAATCGTATTATTATCATTGGATTAATATTATTGTCATTATAGGTATAACAAATGTACTTTTTTCTTTTTTAATCTTTCATTTACGATCATAAATCAAGATATAAATTAATACAACCTATAGAAGAGCTTGTTGCATTTGGGATTTAAGTTGCATGATCGTAACAACGTCTATTAATCCGTTTCTCATGAATATATCATTAGGTGTATAACTTTTGCAGCTTCTATCGAATCGAATCCGTCATTTTCCTTTTCGTCGTATTATCAAAGGAAAAGGATCGTGTCAGGTGTATCGATCTTTCTTATAAGCTTTTATACATAGAACCTACATATGTCAAAGGACACATCTTTCTTCAGGATCAGAAGGATATACATAGAAGGTTGCAGAAGGGTACCAGGATGCTCGATTTTCGACGTTAATTCTTCGGCGATCGATCTATCACGATTACGCTAAAACCTTGGGTAGCATTCGCGGAGACTCAAGGCCGTTAGACCACTATAAATTGTCGACTCGGCTGGTAGGAGCGCAGTAGCGAGCAAAGCCATCGTCCCAACGCGTCCAGTGCGACACGCCATTGATCATGATGCAGACATGTCGCTCGTGCGGCTGAGAACTCGAGGCTTTGCCATAGTTACGTTAATTTTACGAGCCGCCCCAGTTTGCCACCCCTCGACGTTTTGCCCTTCCAGTCGGCCAACGACGTCAGGAAATTACGAACCGTGCTGTGTCGACGTGCAATCCCTTTCTCTCTGTTACTCACTCTATCTCTTTTTCGCTCTTTCACCTTGTCTTTAACAACGCTATTTTACAACATACCATATCTTGACCGATTCGTATTTCGTTTATTATACAACATCGTATTTCAACCTCGTTATTAGTCGCTTACTCATTAGATCGAGATAACCTTTCGTCCTTCAACATTTTGAATATTTATAAATATACACACTATATATTGTGGATAAAAACCATCTATATATATATATATATATATATATATATATATATATATATATCTACAAGCCATTTCAGCTTTTCTATTCGAATCGATCGCTATTGAGATTACAGGGGTCTTAGAGAGATTTGAATTTTCTTCGTGCCTACCCTTTCCGGAAGAGAAAGAGAAAGAAAGAAAGAGAGAGAGAGAGAGAGAGAGAGAGAGAGAGAGAGAGAGAGAGAGAGAAAAGTACCCTTTGCTATCCCCAAGGCATTTAAACGGTCTATCGCCTTATCTTTTACGCCCCCTTTACCATCAAGTATCTACCTACCTGCTAGCTTTTACATCGAATCAACCGTTATCCGAATTGGATATCTATTAACGAGACCAACACGTTAGTCCATGAACTTTTAATTGCAACGTCATCGTACATT